GTTCACATTTTTATTGTCAATGATAGCAACATGGGAACTATATACATCAACAAAGAACTATACTGGACCCAATTAACCTGTCCTATCTGTAACCCTGATGTCTTAACAGAGTTAATGATAAAATGGGGAAAAAACAGCCTCCTTCTTAGCATCTATCTTAAAATGGTGCTTTTCATTCAGTTTTCTCTCTGTGAAAGATTCTTCTGATTTACTTATTACATGACGGGATTACTTTAAGTATACTCACCATTGCTTTCTTGTCAAAAGAACTACTGATGGTCAAAACCAAATCATTTTCCTGCCTTTCAGCTTTCTCCCTTAATGAGATAATCTCTTTTCTTTCGCACCTGTTTTCAGTCTAAGCCTTAACAGCCAACATTTCAAAAATAAAATGGTCACTGATTTGGGTGGGCCTGTTTTTGGGAGCCCTACTTGAGCTGCCTGGACCAGATCCTCAAAGATATTAGACACCTAACTCCCACTGAAATCAGTAGGAGTTAGGCAACTAAATACCTTTGAGGAGCTTGCCCCTTTGGGCCTCAATTTCAAAAAGTGCTGAGCACCCAGAGCTCCTGAAAATCAGGTTCCAGTTGTTAGGCACCCAAAATCACTGGCCAGACTAAAAAAAATGGAGATCTAAATCTATTGTCTAGCTCTGAAGTCACTTTTTCTTCCAAGCCAGCATCATTTTCTCCTTTTTCAAGTTGTGTAGAAGGTTTGTTGTGATACCTTCTGATTTCACACAATGAAGTCTGCATCACAGAAGCACTAGCTGCCTCTCTGATCCCCTTTATAATTAGGGCCCTATCAAATTCATCATCCATTTTGGTCAATTTCATGGTCACAGGATTTTAAAAACTATACCTTTCATTATTTCAGATATTTAAATCTGAAATTTCAGTGTCGTAACTCTAGGGGTCCTGACCTAAAAGGGAGTTTGGTGGGGGTTGCAAAGTTATTGTAGGGAGGTTGCAGTATTGCACCCCCCGCTCCCCGCCCTCACTTCCGCACTGCTGCTGGCAGCGGCGCCGTCTTCAGAGCTGGGCAGCCAGAGAGTGGCGGCGGCTGGTTGGGAGCTGAGCTCTGAAGGCAGAGCAGTGCCAGAAGCAGCGTGGACATAAGGATGGCAGGGTGTTGCTACCCTTCCTTCTGTGCTGCTGCCTGCGGAGCTGGGCCCTCGGCCGGCAACTGCCAGTCTCTGACCATCCAGCTTGGAGGGCAGCAGCACACCCTTACTTCTGTGCTTCTGCTGGCAAGGCGCTGCCTTCAGAGCTGGGCACCTGGCCAGCAGTTGCTGTTCTCTGGCCACCCTGTTCTGAAGGCAGTGCAGAATTAAGGATGGCAATATTACAATAACCTTGTGACTCTCCCTTTTGGGCCAGGACCCCCAGTTTGAGAAACGCTGGTCTCCTCTGTGAAATCTGTATAGTATAGGGCAAAAGTACACAAAAGACCAGATTTCATGGAAGAGACCAGATTTCACGGTCCATGATGCATTTTTCATGACTGTGAATTTGGTAGGACCCTATTTATAATCTTGCCACGGTTGGGACAGAGACTCTGAAGCTCTTGCCATCTGGAAAAGCTTTAATATATCTATACACCTCACCCATTCACCATCTGTTTGCAGAGTTCCAAATTAGAAAGGTCTCGCTCTTTTTTTCTTGCCTACGTCTCTTAATCTTGCTTTTCCACCATTATTTTTTATTTAAATCTAAAAAGCATTTTGGGATGTAGTTCATATATGAAGAACCGTATAAAAGAATGTAGTTCTATAGTGCATTAGATGAACCATATGTATTAGATCCTGTGCACAATTTTGTTAGGGTATTTGATGGGGAAGAACAGTCTTGGGTCAAAAGTACAGTCCTGGGAGTCAGATGGTATTGTTGGAATTGAAAAGAAAAATGTTAAATACCCCGGAACAGCTAGTTTATATGTAAATAAATGATCCAGCTGAAAGTATTTTTTATCTTGGGAAGAGAGGCTGAAAGTGTGATTGTAAAGTACAAATTCAAGGAATCAATTTATAAGTTGTTGCAGGAAAAAGAAATAATAGTTACAGTTCAGCAATACTCAGGAAGTTTGAAATTAAACCATCTTAAGAGTAGTTTTCTTTTTCAAAAAAACCTGTTCAAGGCAGAAATACTTAGGGACAGAGAGCTTTTTTTAAAGACTTAATTCTGGGAGATGGGGGGAAATCTTCAGTCATGATAAAGATTTATACTTAATTTATTTTAAAAGAATAAATAAAATTTGATAAACAGGCACTAAATAACAGAACCAACCTTTCATGAACATGTCAGGAGCCAGAAATACCTACACTGAATATCTAGGTTGAATTTTCAGTAACAATTAAAATATGAGTCATTTTAGCCTGGACTACCTCTAGGGACAGAAATGATATTCTACACAAAGGGCAATATTTTGATGCCGGAAACACTGCTGATGCCAGAAGGACTGTAAAACACTAATTTCCATGTCTATTTTTTGTTTTGCATTGCAGTATTTTATGTGTTGGTCGGCTTTTAATATGGTTATAAAGCCTGATTCAATTCCCATGAAAGTCTGTGGAAGACTTTCTGTTAACAGGCCCACATGCTGTTTTACAACTATTAACTAATTAATGCACAGAAGACTCCTGAGAGGTAGGTGAGTATTTTAATCACTATTTTACCAACAGAAAAACTAAAGGAGAGATTCATGGTCTTAGTTTTAGAGGTGATGAGCAACCACAGCTGCCTTCAGTGCAACTGAAAGCTGAGTGACTTCACTGGGGGCAGGAGGTGCTCAGCTGATTTGAAATTCTGACTTCAAGTTAGTCTAGTTCCACAGACAGATTGTGTCAGAGCTGGGATTAGAACTCAGGCTCGCTGACCTGTACTCAATTCACCTCTCTCCTCCCACTCTCAGTATTAGAATGAAAGTTGTTTGCTTCCACACTTGTTGTGCTAACTTGGGCAGTGCTTCCACTACATTATTTCAGGGTCTTCCACTCTGACTGCCTTCAGCTTCCTGGTACCACTGAGCCTTACCTCATGAAGTCCAGGTTCAGCAGACAACAGTGCAGCTGGGTTAGATTTTCCCTGGACTCATTCAGTGAGCCCTACCACTAACATACGTAGTGTCCTTTTAAAAAAAGGTATCCTTATCTAAGTTCACTAGAGATTACTCAAAAGCATAAGGCAAGTGATGTCCTCTGATGTTGTCACTGTCATGATCCCCACAGTACTTACGGCAATGGAAGAGGTATCCCAACCTAACTGCATAGAGACATAATATAAGAATACAATGCATTGTGCAGCTCTCTAGTAACTCTCTTTGTACAAGCACGTCTCATGTAAGGCTGTATGTTTACCAATTTCAATATACAATTTAAACAGATTTCTTGCTGCTTCCAGATGCTGCTCATACCACACATTATAGACCTGGTAACTGGAATGGCTGTCCAACTATAAACAAAATTCAGATATATCCTTCGATTTGATTTGATTTGATTTTGGCCTACATAAGATGGCATAGGCCTTACAGTATGTGATAATATTATGAAATGCTTCTTTGGGTATTTATGGCAAGCTGACTTGATGTCAGGACAATATTATACTGTACTTCCCCACGCAAAAGAAAAACTGTTACCTCCAAACGGGCTTTTTTTTTTTTTTTTATTAAAGAAAACATCCTTGATAAAGATTTCCTCCCCTGGCACCATCCTAGAAAGCAAAGGGCTGTTTACTTTTATTACATAACTTTCATAACTCTCTGGATTATTACTGTGTTGCTTATTATGATTCTAAGGTGCACCTGTTGTTTAAGGATTTTTTAAAAGAAAGTTAAAAAGAACATGTTTTCCATCCAAACACTAAGTCTCATGTTCTAAGGACTAATGAAAACATAATGTTTTTTTTCTTTGTTTTTCATGTTTGCTTATTCCTTCAGTGCTGATGAAATGTTCTACATTGACAGACTGACGCCCTCTATTTATCCAAATAATATTTACAACACTGATAACAGCAATGCAGGTGTCCCTGCTCTCAACCCTGTGCTGGAGAGACCAGTTTTAGAGTGCCAGTGAAAATCAGTTTCCACAACCCACTAAAAACTTGGTCTCAGATTGTGGAGACCTTATTCACATTGGTGAGCAGTCACTCACGTGATAATCACACTGAAGCTAATGGCACTACTACTGTAAGTAACTGTTCACCAACAAGAGTAAAGCCTTTCTGCTGTAAATGCCAACAATATTATTAATGTAAACTGAGATACTGTTTTTGTAGACCCGTCCCTTGAGAACTGGATCAAAGCCACCATAACAACCATCAGATGGAAATAGTTTTTAGTTTCTACCAACTAGGGTTTGACTCATAGTGTTGACCTATATGTGAAAGACTCCATACCACTTATATATGCCCTCAGCCATCCAGCCCCTGAAGTCAAGTTTTCAAACATGAGCACTTTTAAAAAATTACATTTGTTATTTAAAACCACCTACTTTTAATAATCTTCTATCCATATATTTTTACCACAATAACCACAATGCATCTTAGTCCATTGCAAGCAAATGGAAGCAGATAGCAAATTGCAGATTCTCTCTCTCCCCTATATACACTTACAGAGAGGGGTTTTGTGGCACCAGCTCTTTGGTTGGGGGAGAGGATTGTTTGATGTGTGTGGGGGGGGGTTAACTGTTGCAGGAAAACTAAGGGGGAAATGTTGGATCTTGCACTTACACATGAAAGCAGGAAGAGTCTGTCATTCTAATTTCTTGGGGAAGGGAATTCCATAAGCATGAGCTGTCCACTGAAAAAGTGCTGTTTCTACTCATTCTAAATATTGTCCTTGTTGTGGACAGCTCCATCATTCCTGAGAAGTGCAAGTGTCATGGATGTTAATTCAGGCACATGAGACACATCCCATTTGAAGAGAGAACTTTGGAGATTCGTACTGTGACTTTGAAGTGTCTATCTGGCATTCAAAGCTTAGTCTGTGTAGTTGCTGACGGCACGAGATTGCAGAGATGCACATCTGCCTTTTGATGTTGGCCAATAATATGGGCTGCTGTATTGTGAGGCTTTTCCAGAACTTGCATACTCATTCCCATGTAGAGGGCACTGTAATTATCAAGAGTAGGCACAATAGAGCATGGATCAGTGAGGCAAAGTCTTTTTATGACAGTACTTTTATTTCACTCAAACCCACTATTCATCCCTTTGACTGAAGCACTGTGAGCAGCTTGCCAGGTTATCACTGTGCATCTCAGAGCTTGCACAGGACGGGGTGCCGATGACAATGCCAACACAGCTGCACGACACCGGTTTTGGCTGCAGTTACTCCTGTTCTCTTTGTGCACTTCCATCTCCGGCAGGCTTCTGCCTCCTCCTTATTTAATGGCACCTTTGTAGAGCCCCTGATTACATGACCCAGTGACACCTCACGGCAGCAATGGAAGCGGAGGGAACTAGGGGTTGGGATGGGATCCAGAGACCTCTCGCTGCTGCTTGGCTGCCTCAAGTAGGGACTAAAAGCTGCTACCATCTGATGGCTGGGCTGTGAGCTGCGCCAGTGCAGATACTGGCCGCAGGCCGGTTCCCTGGGGGCGAATCAGGCTCACCACTGCGGGCAGGGTCACTGGCTCTTGCTCCTCCACAGGGGCTCAGGCCCGCCCCCTCCCCGGAACCGGGGGGGGGACCCCCATCCCCAGCAGGGGGCGGGGTGTGGTGGGTGGGGGTGTTGAGCTCCCGTCCTGCCCCCTCGCCACAGGGCGGGCTGTTTCCCCTGCACCCGCGTGGGGGGTCGCTCCTGTGCCCTCCCACCTCGGCTCCCGCGCGTGGGGGGCCAGGCTGCCCGGCTGCCAGATGGGGCCCGCGGGGCGCTGCCCCGGCTGCGCTCCTCCCCTCGTTCCCCGCACCGCGTCCGTCTCCTTACCTGGCCCTTCGGCCCCCTGCCCCTTCTCGTGCATCCCGCAACGAAACCTGGCCTAGGAACCAAACCACACAGCCTCGTTGCAGTGCGGTGAGCTAGTGTGTGTGCACGCGGATGTTCCTTTCCTCTTGGCACGAGCACCGGAAGGGTTTGGCGGTAGCACTCGGAAGTTGTTTCCCTGGGGGCGGATGTCAATGGAGGTACCCGGAAGTACTTTCTGAGTTACGAGGGACGAGTGCAGCGACCGGAAGTGGTGGTGCACGGGGTGGTTCACTAGTGCGCCACCCGGAAGTACCCCGCGGTCGCTGCTGGCGCTAGGATAGCAACCCGGGAGGCTTCTCCTGGTCCCGGCCCGGGGAGGCGGTGATGGCCCCGGTGTCCCGGTCTCGAAGCCCCCAAGGCTCCCCAGGCTCCCGGCGGAAGGGCGGCAGCAGCGGCAGCAGCAGCAGCTCCTCGGCGAGCCCCTCACCCCCGAGACCCAGCCGCCCCCACCGACCTGCGTCTCCCGAGAAGCGGGGCAGGAGGTCGCGGTCCCGGGAGCGCAACGGCGTGAAGCACTTGGGCCACCGGCGGAGCCGCAGCTGGTCCCGCTCCCGGGAGCGCACGCCGGGCGGGCCGCGCTCCTCCTCCGCTCACCACGGGCACCATCACCACGGCGGCGGCGGGAAGCAGTGGCCGGACTACTACGAGAAGGAGAAGGAGGAGATCCTGCGGTTGAGGCGAGCCCCTAACCCCGGGCCCCCGAGTCGCCCCCCGACCCGAGCCAGCGTGTTGTGAGGAGAGGCAGGGGCAAGAACCAGCCTCAGCCATCTCGAAACAGCACCGTCCTCTCATCCCTGATCATCGGACACCCTGCCCTGGCCCCCACGCCAAGAACCAGACCCCCAACCCTGGCAACGCACCCAGGGTCCATCCCACCCATGCTCTGGCTATATGGTCCCTGCAGCCTCCTCTCTCTGTCCACTATCCTTGGTCCCACAGACATGAGAGACCCTCCCTTTTTCCAAGTGGAGGAGTGTTCCCTGCAGAGTATTTTTAAGTGCCTTCTCCAGTCTTGTTTTAAATGACCCATGGCTGCTCACCACTTAGCGACCAGATTCATTGCTTGTTCCACCTTCGTTTTTGGGAGACTTTGTCAGTTTTGCCTTAATTTTATCCATTAAAGAAACTGTGGGGGAGGTAATTAGGAGCTCCAAAGGACATGAAATGAAGTAGATTTGAGTCATCTGTATTAATGTAGTGGTGTAGCCCCACAGGTATGATAGGGCCCAGCTCATTAAGCTATCTTGGATAACCTGCAGCGGTGACAAGCTTGGAAATAATACAGCCTACAGCGATGACAAGTGTGAACATGCAATGGATGGTTCTGCTCAAAAGCAAAGCATCACATATTGGAATTTGTTGTCTCTACAGATTATATTTTCCATTTTATAGATCAGGGCAGCCAGAGGGATGTCTCGTGCAATAATTTGCCACAGACTAGTTACATTTGCCTTTTAGTTTTCATAATAACAAATAATGTGTCTATCTGTGATGATTACATCCACTTCCTAAGACAATTCATTTGGAACATTACATATGTGGCCAAAAATCCTGTTTTACTAGGCTACAAAGTCTGAGGGTTAACTGAAACTTGCAGAGGTCCACTTTAAGATTTCTCAGACCTGCATTGGTTCCCGTCTCCTTGGTGACTGAGAAAACTAACATTGAATTAAGTCTTGGTTTTGGAGGGAATAAACAAATTTTAAATACTAAAGTGAAGAAAATATCCTTTCACGAAATCTAATTTCAGAGACTAGAAATGCTGCTAAACACAAACTACTCAGGTTTCGAATATTAGCACATTAGGTTTTAATGCAGTATCTGCCTTTACAGGAGACTAAATGAGAGAGAGAGGATTGGTGAACTGGGAGCACCTGAAGTCTGGGGACTGTCACCAAAGGTTCCTGACCCAGAGTAAGTAATTTCTCTTGCGGGTTTTTCTCCTTCAGGAACTCTGGTCTGGAGTCTTATGTTAAAATAATATTGTTATTAAATGTTACTATTACTTTACAGAAATGTTCTTGTTCTGCTTTTTTTATATTTCATGTTACGCGTCTCCAAAGTTAAATCACTAAACAGTCATAGCTGGATACGATTTTTCATATAATCCCAACAGATCAATTACATGAGGTTTCAGCAGTTGTAGATCAAATAATGTTGTCTTGTGGTTCAGAGAGTGACTCAAATATTAGCTATTTAATGGTTTTATTCATTACTAACACAGGCTCTGAATCTTCAAACAATTATATGTGTGTTTGATTTTGGATAAATAATCTGCACTTCAAATCATATTGCATAATTAAGATATTTTTGTTTCTGTTCAGTTCTGATGAGCATACCCCAGTAGAAGATGAGGAGGCAAAATCTAAGAAGAGTAGCTCTTCAGATTCCAGTTCAGAAGGTATTTCGTTTTGACCATAGAAGTTGTTTGCACACTAACAGAAGATTGAGGGTTAGAATCTATTCACCTTACTTACAAAGAACTCTACTGACTTCAGTAGGACTCAGCAAAGCCGGCACGATAGAGTTCCATGAGAGGGGGATGCTAGCATACTAGGATCCAAAAATATTAATGGAGTGCCAGACTATAATCATCTTGCAGGTAACATTCTCTTTTTAAATCTTTACAGAAGAGAGAAAGAAGAAGAAGAAGAAGAAAAAGGAAAAGAAAAGAAAGAGATCCAAAAGAAAACACAGAAAGCATTCTGGGGACAGTGACAGCGAGTCTGAGTCTGAGCTAAACACCAGTGGTAAGAAAAAAGGCTTCTATTAAACTATATGGTCTGAAACCTATTGTATGTGTTCTTTATAATCATGTGGAATATTGCATCTGTTGTGCTGGCATCCTCGTGACATTCTGGGATTTCATACATTAGTTGCTCATTATGGGAAAAAAAATCTGTTGACCTACAGAATACGCTCTGAAGACAAATTTTTCTCTTGTCCCAAGATCCATATAAATTGTAGTGAAGCTTTTTTTAATTCTACTTGTACCTGTGTTAAGCTCTAATTTTTTCTGGTTCTATTCAAGACTAATGTTGAACGGTTTCCCTTTGTGCCCTTTTCTCATTCTCATCTCAGTGCTACCTCTTTTATTTAGAATAGCCTCTGTTCCTGTGCACCAAATAACCACCCTCTCTACTCAAATGTCTCCTCAAAACACATCCTCTGTGAAGTCTCTCAGCCCTAATCCACTTTGTGCAGGATGTGAAGTCACAACATTCTAGACCAGAGGCAACATACAGCCTCTGTTGCTGGACTTCAGTAGCCATTCCGATAGAAATTAATCACTAATCCTTTATTTTAAATTCTTTCATTGTTCTGTTGAGTTTGCAGTGTCTCTTGTTCCTGTACATGGGGTTTGGCCATCAGGGAATGGTATCCTGAATTTAATCCATCAGGCATTTCTGTTCAGGTGGTGATAGTATATGAGTACATTGAATAATATTGTTTTGACTGTGTTTGGATATTGTAAATGACCTGGAATTGAGACCCTCCCCTCTAATGCACGGTTACTCCTGCGGGAATTCTGTGCTCAATATTTTAGAATTCTGCAAATTCTCTGTATTTTATTTGTCAAAATAACACAATACAATCATGCCAGTTTCAATTATTTTGGTAATTTATTTCAAAATACCTGTCAGCAAGTATGTCTGTAACAATACAGACCAAAAAAAAAAGATTCAGGTAATGTTTTTTTGACAAATAGATTCCTTACTAGGCATATTAATACAGAACTTCAAGTAATTCATTTAAACTACAATACAGAAACATATTTCCCACACCCCTCAGAAGCAGTGCAAAGCCTTGGGGGAGTTGGGTAACGGAGGAGCTCAGGGAGAGGAGCCTGGGAGTGAACCTGGAGGGTTGGGTGTGGATGGGAGAAGTATGAAACATGGGCATTGGGCTTTCAAGGGTGGGGATTGTTAGAGAGTTGGGGAGTCTCCCCCATGCAGACCCTGGCCCACTCCAAGCCTCTCCCATTCAGTCAGGCACATTTGCCCCTGTCCCCATGTATCCCTGCAGCACCCCTCACATTCAGCCCCTGGCTCAGTGCTGTCACCCCAGTAGTTCCTGAGCCTGGGCCCAGTCATTTCCCTGCACATACCACACTAGCCCTTTTGAACCCCAGTCTGTGACACAACCCCCCCCCCCCAGCAGCTTGATGTGCCCCACTCTATCCTAAACTGGCGCCACTGACAGGGTGCTGCGATGAATGCAGCAGCCTGTTCTGGCGCCACAGCGGCCTATGATGGGTGAAAGATGTAACTGCAGCACTTCTCAGCAGAATGTATTTTCTATGGGCGAAAAAATTCTGCACTGGATATGAATTCTGCATATGCACAGTGGTGCAGAATTCCCCCATGAGTAGTAGCTAATCACTAAGCCATTCTGGTGTAGGGTGAACTGAGGAATTCAGAGACATTTCTACTTTTATCCCAGGTGAGTAGCTCAATGTTGCAAGACCAGTTCTCTCCACCTTACTTTAGCTGCTGTTGTGCGGGGCGGGTTATATTTCCAATAAAGTGCGGTACTTTCTTCATTTTATTACCGTGGGCTTTTTTGGTGATTGTATGTTTGATTTTTCAGATGAAGATAAAAAGAAAACAAAGAAGAAAAAGAAACATAGAAAGTAAGAGCAGTCTCTTAAAATATTGCTTTTAAATCTGTATGTGTCTTCCATGAGAGAACAGCGGTATTATGATACTGTTTCCCTAGCTGATGAGTAAGGAAGGGCCAACACTTCTGTGTCTCCTGTAGTTAAGAGGCCCATGGTATCATGTAATAGCCTCACTTCAGAATCTTCATGACTCTACCTCAGACCAACTGAATTCTGGCTAATGAAGGACCCAGTCCAAACTTTAAAGAGGAATCTGCCAAAGAATGGTGTGTGGAAGACCCACAATGGTACTTGCTGGATCTGTAGAATGAAATGTTTTTTGTGACTTACTGAACAGATAGATACCAATTGAACCCTCCACTGGGATGCTGCTTGAAAAATTGATCAAGTAAGCCTGGCCTCTAGCACTATTCCCTTTTCCCTGTTAGGCATATAAATGTCTGTCTGTCTCATCTTTAACTTTGTTACAGAAAGAAGTCTAAGAAAAAGAAGAGTAAGAGGAGTAGGAAGAAATCCAGTGATTCAAGTAGTGAAGATTCTGATGATGAAGCTCTTCAAGGGGATGATCTCTGGATTGAGAGATCAAGTAGGTTCTTTCTATTTAACACTTGTGTTAAACTCCTAGGTATTGTGTTCAGTCATATCAGTTGATTATATGTTGATGTCCTGTGTAACTGACCTGACTTAATCAGGTGTGTGACAGATTTGTGCAAAGCAGAGGGTAAAGCAATAATATTTGTGATTATTTGTATTGCAGAAAATACAGACGCTGATAATTTAATTGGACCAGAAGCTCCAAAAATGCATGCATCTCAAGATGATAGGCCTTTGAAGTAAGTAGTCATATATGATTTACACAAACAGATCAAATCAAGGAAAATAAACATGAAGGTTGCCATGCCAGATAGTACCTGTAGCCAGGAGTGAAGGTGATGTTTTCTCGCAGACTTTCATTTGTTAGAGGCACTAAATCTGTGTTTTATTCTTAAACTGAAAACCTACTGAAATCAGCTAGAACTTGCAGTATGTGTACCTGGTAACTTTTGTTAGGCAGTTTGTTACATTGTTTTCAATAGAGTGGCCATGTTACAGTATTATTTTTTCAAATACTTTCTGCAATGTGGTGACTTTATTCCAGTTTACCATTAAATCAAATTCTCCATTATAATTAATTAATTTTTGATTCAGCTCATGACTTACAATCTCTCTCATTGATGGAAACTGCCAGAATAAAGGAAGCACAGACATTAACTGGAGAAATGGCTATATAGGGTGATGAATAGCGAGATGTCAAGTGAGTTACTTTTAGTGACCCTTCCGCTTCAGCTGTCCCAGAGCACCAGTAATGTTTCAGTAACGTGTCCGCCCAGAGGAAGGCCGTCCTGCAGTAAATGGAACCTTTTGTTACAAACTTCCTTGCTTCAGTGAGTCTGGAAATCCAGCATGGGAGCGAGTGTTCCAGTATGTCATGTCCAAGAGTTTGAACAAACTTAATTCTGTTGCTGCTCTGGTTGCATGAAATACATATCACTTTGTTGAGTTCTCAGTGCTAGATTTATCAGGGCTCCTCTGCGTTCGTTCATGGATTTAATTACTCTTGTGACCGCTTCAGTTTGAAACTGATGATTTTTTTTTTTTTAATTAAAGCTATGGCCACGCTTTGCTGCCTGGTGAAGGTGCAGCTATGGCAGAGTACGTAAAGGCTGGAAAACGCATCCCTCGAAGAGGTGAAATTGGCCTGACCAGTGAAGAGATCGCATCGTTCGAGAGCTCTGGTTATGTGATGAGTGGCAGCAGGTAGGGGGTTTTTTGATGATGATACTTAGGGTGAGATTTACGACTGCGTAGGAGACCCAGTTGAAAGCACCAAAGAAAAGTTGCTACGTGTGTATATTATGCAACAATCAAAAAGGTTAAACAGTCTGCGACTACAAACATACTTGTTCATCTCTGCTGATCTACAGTAAGTTTGTTACAGGTATGTTTTCCCAAGGACAAATATACTTTGCAGTAGTTTCCCCTCTGTAAAATGGGAATACTGATTCAGACCTCCTTTGGAAACTTCTTCGAGGTCTACAGATGAAAAATCACGATATAAGAGCTAGGTATTATAATCGCACTAGAATGTAAATATAGTCTGAGTTCAGATCACTGGAAGCCTGATGTTTAGATAATAGAGACGGCAGTGTTGGTGAGTTCCACATAGCATATTGGATAATAGGACAGGCAGTGTAGGCTGTGCAATGCGGGGTGGGGAAATAGTCTCCCAAAGAGGGTACGGATAAATGGTTTTTTGCCTCCTGACAAATGCAATGTTCTCCTCAGGCATCGCCGAATGGAAGCTGTGCGTCTGCGTAAAGAGAACCAGATCTACAGTGCCGATGAGAAGAGAGCTCTAGCATCTTTCAACCAGGAGGAGAGACGGAAGCGAGAGAACAAGATCCTGGCTAGCTTCCGGGAGATGGTCTACAGAAAGACTAAGGGCAAAGAAGACAAATAACTCCACCCCCCCCTTTTTTTTCCCCCCAATTGTACAGCACGGATTGTAGTAAACAGTGGCTATCACCTTCTTGTGACTTGGAAACAGCTGTAAAGTACTGCAGTGCCTTCCACCCGATGGGATGCATTTCTCAGGACTGGATCATTTGTATCAAGAAATAATCACCCTTAGCAGGCTTTCTTGGACAACTCGTTCACCAGCTGTAGGCAACTGCCATTAGGGGAAGTACAGAATCCTGAATGAGACTGAGGAGTACTCAGGGAGATTCATGATTCTACAAGATGGTAATGCACTGTATTAGACCTGGATATGGACACAACAGGATACCATCATCAGCTGGGCTGCTGCTGGTGAAATGAAACATAACTATCTTCCATTTATTTTGGTTAATCATCATGGACAAAATCAGACTAGACTTCACCACCATGAACAGACTACTATTAGTAGCAAAAAATAAGGAATTCCTAAATAGCCATTTAGATTTGATGATTGTTCATTTATGATGCAATTGCGAAAAGTTCTTTACACACTGTACATTTATGGTTTCCTTTTAGTTGTTTTGAGGAAGAAAACTCACTTCATGGCTTGTGGTTCAGATTCCATTTGTAAATAGAAATATATTTGTAATTTAATAGATCTTGGTTTCAACTATTTTAAAAAAGATCACAAGCAGTGTATATTATAGAAGTAGTAACTTTAAGGGTCTGGCCTAGAACCTCCAAAATCCCAGGACACTGAATGAAAGAACTAAAAGCTTGTCTCCTTCTCTGCTTAACTGCTGTACATAGATATATCTCTCAGGTGCGGGGCAGTAGTAACCAGTGTTTAGAAGTCCTGGAAATACATAAGTAGTAACAGAAGATGGATTTTAATTCCAGTTCTGAATTTCTTTCCTCTTGGAAATCTTCTAGATTAAACCCTTACGATTTTAACTCCTTGTATTTTAATTTTCTTTTTTCAGTAGTATTAATCTCTTAAGATTTGCGGTTAGAGGCCTACTCCTGATCAATTCTTATCCAGTATTCCCCCATTGCCATCTGGTCATCATATTTCCAAAATGAGTATCCTGTATATCCTTTGACTTATTCTTTCTTATATACTTTTTTTTTTTTTTTTTAAAGTAAAATAGCGTCTGAATGTACTTTTAAAATCCCTGGTTTCTAGTTCTGAGGGGTAGAAATACTTACACCCTGTAGTAGGTTTCCATAAAAACTTTAGAAATCCTGTTATCCACTTCTGTTGGATTTATAAACCTTGTTTTAACATAACATTAGGCTTAACCTACCTCTCATCATTTTAAACTATGTATATCCTGATCTTGGAACTCTCTTCTGCTGGTGTTTCCTATGTGTCTGTGCAGAGCCAGTTGCAAGATCAGGTCCTTAAGCTGTCGATGTTAATGTCACACTAATTTAAAACATGTGTTCATGATTTAGTAGCCAGGTACCATTCTTGTACGATCTAATTCAGAAGAGCTAGTAAAAGAGAAGGAAAGGCAAAACAAAAAAGCCTGTTCCAGTGCCCTTAGTTTATTTCCATATAACACCAACATATTGTAGGTGCCCTTTTGAATTGGATTTAATCTGAAGCAAATGTTTATTTAGAAAGTTATGCTGTCCATGAGAATTTTCTTGCTTTCAATGATGTCTTTGAGCCACTTTTCCCTAAACCGACACTGTCCTGGTCTAGAAAAAACAGAACAAACAGTGTAAGAATAATGGTAGCAGTCAGCTGCAAATCAGAGTTCTGGCAGCTGGAAGGAAGCCCTTTGAAGTGGGCAAGCCTATCCCCTGGAAGAATGAGGCTTTTTAGGCCTGTGTAAATCCATCACTAATTCAGTACGCAGGAAATAGACACCCATGGAACATGTACATGCTGGGATAAAGAACTATGCTAGCTCGGTGGGGTTTGAGTGTTTTTTTGCTGGTGGGATTTTAGTGTGGTTTCCCTGAGTCGCATAGACAGGATTTTTTTTTAAGAACTCGGCTATAGCCAGCTCACTTTCCTGCCTCTGCTGAAGCGCTGTCCTACAACTTGCTTGGGATATAAAAAGATAAATTTACGTAGATCTTGTTCGAATGCTAGTGGAGCTAGGTTAGGCTCCCAGTTTGTATAAGGCTGTGAGTTGTTATTAGCATTCCACATACACCTCATGGATTAGACTCTTAGCCCCGCTTCACCCGTATGGTGCCACAAATGCCAGAAACAGCCTGGAATTTTCCCTGGGGGGAGGCCCCAGAATTTGTAGTGTCACCATAGTTGACTTATGTCACAACCACTGAGCCCTGGTGGAGAGTATGGCCAAAACACAAGATCCTCAGCTGGTGTAAGTTAGAGCAGCCAACAGCAGGGCAGGGCCAGACAGCATCAGCCTGCTGGCGCTGATTCCCTGACACACTCAGCTATGGTGGGGTGGGGGCTATCTGTACCCATTTCTAATATAGCTGGACATACCTGAAATTAACCATGGTTTATGCACCGTTGCTAGGGCCCTTCTATACTGGTTCATTGCTTTAAAAAAAGCTACAGAAAAAAATATACCTGTGAATGAACCTATTTGATTCCAAAATGAAGAATACCTCAACTGGCAAGGTCTGCAATAGATGAAAGTGGGGGTACAGTTCAGACATTTCTGAGAGTACAGTTAAAGTAGGCATTTTTATCCATTACAATTCTCTTTTGTAAAAGGTTGCATGGCTAGAACAATGTCATCCGTTATCTTATTCTAAGAGCAGAAGGTATTTGCTTACACACAAATCTAAGTCTTCCTCGAGCCAGACAGCTAGACTTTACCAAGTCGTATTACAGAGTGGGAGCTCTACTGGACAAACCACAGAATTGCAACTGAGTGAGTAAGCAAAAATCATCAAAGGAAGTCAGATGGGTCAGTGAAAACTTCAATTATTTTGACATTTAGTTTTGTGATAGTTCTTCATAGTATTACAGCACATTTTCAAACCATATAAAATGAATGAAAGGACCACGGTGGCATGCACTCTAAGGTTACATTTTAGCAGCAAAGGGGAGGGAAGGCCGAAGAACTATCAGTTTTAGTGAGGGTCTCTCAGGTTGTAGCATTCATATCACAGGCCCCTTCCTGGAATATTAGTCACAGCACATTATAGGATGTTTTCTCATTTTGCAGAGAGACCAATTCAAACCAGAATCTTGACAGGGATCAAGTATTGATCTAATCACTTGTGCAGTTATGAACTTCACTTACTCGGACAAATTTTGACAGCCCTCCCACCTTACATACTGTAATAATTTAATTTACTGCTTTCTCATTCCACAGAGGGAGTAAAGTGAAATTTTTTTACTTTCACATTTCAAAGGGGAAAATGAGATGGTTGAGTAACACTTTAAATACGTACAGGTGGTTTAATTTTGGAGATCTCAATGATGAAATAGATGCATGCTGTTGTTCGTGGGATGGGCTTCCTGCATGTTGGGATGCTCCAGCGAACCCGGTAGTGGTACCTCTTGCTGTACGTCAATTCTTGTTCCTGGAGGTAGTCTGACCAGTGAAGCCAGCTCCCATGAAACTCCCACGTCTGCTGAACATACACCACACTATAAGTCTTCCACTCTCTAGTACAGATGACTTAAGGGAAGTGGGGAAAAAAAGAGATTGAGTTGCTCTTGTTTAACTCTGCCACACACATCAAGATTGAGGGGACATGGTAAAAAGGAAATGCTACTTTTAAAAACTGTCTAATCACAGTCACCTCAAGAACTTATTTCTACAGCATATTACTGAGGCAAATAGTTTAACAAGATTCCTAGAAGATTCAATGTACACAGAGCAGCGTTTGTAATAACAGAAGGCAAGTTAAAGTTAGCTGGGTTGTCATCCTAATGCTTCCAAGCAAAAAGCTTGATTGGCTGTAGAATTCAGAAGGATGTTTCTTCATTCAATATTGCCTACCGTAGTTGATCTCATGCATTTCTAATTTGTGGCACTCCTCAGGCCCCACGCTACCAGCACTCCCAGCTACCTTCGAGACACCACTGACTTCCTGAGGAAACTACAATCCATCGGTGATCTTCCTGATAACACCATCCTGGCTACTATGGATGTAGAAGCCCTCTACACCAACATTCCACACAAAGATGGACTACAAGCCGTCAAGAACACTATCCCCGATAATGTCACGGCTAACCTGGTGGCTGAATTTTGTGACTTTGTCCTTACCCATAACTATCTTACATTTGGGGACAATGTATGCCTTCAGATCAGCAGCACTGCTATGGGTACCCGCATGGCCCCACAGTATGCCAACATTTTTATGGCTGATTTAGAACAACGCTTCCTCAGCTCTCATCCCCTAACGCCCCTACTCTACTTGCGCTATATTGATGACATCTTCATCATCTGGACCCATGGAAAAGAAGCCCTTGAGGAATTCCACCATGATTTCAACAATTTCCATCCCACCATCAACCTCAGCCTGGTCCAGTCCACACAAGAGATCCACTTCCTGGACACTACAGTGCTAATAAACAATGGTAACATAAACACCACCCTATACCGGAAACCTACAGACAGCTATTCCTACCTGCATGCCTCCAACTTTCACCCTGACCACACCACACGATCCATCGTCTACAGCCAAGCTCTGCGATACAACCGCATTTGCTCCAACCCCTCAGACAGAGACAGACACCTACAAGATCTCTATCAAGCATTCTTACAACTACAATACCCACCTGCGGAAGTGAAGAAACAGATTGATAGAGCCAGAAGAGTTCCCAGAAGTCACCTAAAACAGGACAGGCCTAACGAAGAAAATAACAGAACGCCACTAGCCGTCACCTTCAGCCCCCAACTAAAACCCCTCCAACGCATTATTAAGGATCTACAACCTATCCTGAAGGATGACCCATCACTCTCACAAATCTTGGGAGACAGGCCAGTCCTTGCCTACAGACAGCCCCCCAACCTGAAGCAAATACTCACCAGCAACTACATACCACACAACAGAACCACTAACCCAGGAACCTATCCTTGCAACAAAGCCTGTTGCCAACTGTGCCCACATATCTATTCAGGGGACACCATCACAGGGCCTAATAACATCAGCCACACTATCAGAGGCTCTTTCACCTGCACATCCACCAATATGATATATGCCATCATGTGCCAGCAATGCCCCTCCGCCATGTACATTGGTCAAACTGGACAGTCTCTACGTAAAAGAGTAAATGGACACAAATCAGATGTCAAGAATTATAACATTCATAAACCAGTCGGAGAACACTTCAATCTCTCTGGTCATGCGATTACAGACATGAAAGTCGCTATTTTACAACAAAAAACCTTCAAATCCAGACTCCAGCGAGAAACTGCTGAATTGGAATTCATTTGCAAATTGGATACAATTAACTTAGGCTTGAATAGAGACTGGGAGTGGCTTAGTCATTATGCAAGGTAGCCAATTTCCCCTTGCTTTTTCCTACCCCCCTCCCCCAGATGTTCTTGTTAAACCCTGGATTTGTGCTGGAAATGGCCCACCTTGATTATCATACACAGTGTAAGGAGAGTGGTCACTTTGGATAAGCTATTACCAGCAGGAGAGTGAGTTTGGGGGGGGAGAAAACCTGGATTTGTGCTGGAAATGGCCCAACTTGATTATCATACACATTGTAAGGAGAGTGATCACTTTAGATAAGCTATTATCAGCAGGAGAGGGGGGTGGGAGGAGGTATTTTTTCATGCTTTTTGTGTGTATATAATAAGATCTTCTACACTTTCCACAGTATGCATCCAATGAAGTGAGCTGTAGCTCATGAAAGCTTATGCTCAAATAAATTGGTTAGTCTCTAAGGTGCCACAAGTACTCCTTTTCTTTTCACTGGAGGCAAGCAATCCACTACACCAGAGGAAACAGTGCTGTCTTCTGCTTTGGCATTTCCTGTATTCATAGGGCATTAGACCCTCAGCTGTACTTTAAGCTCTATTCAGGTTCTTGGATTTTTCATGTAATATTTGTGAAAAGCTGTCTAATGCAGGTGACGGTGAAAAAGAACCTATTAGATAGTCTAAACCCAGGTCCTCAGAAGGGCTTAGGTGCCTAACTCCCATTGACTGCAAATAAATATCTGTGAGGAGCTGAGCCTAAGCTTCCAAAGGCAATTTCACTGCATGGGCGTACCTGAGTCTCATCCAAAGGCCATTAGGACACTGAGTTTTGCAGATAGGAACAATAAGGAAATGGAGAGCGCCCAAGCACATGAGGAGAGAGGGCATTCCGACCAATTGGAAAGCCACCCAAGGGTGCCATTGAGTAGTTAAAAGGCCTGCTGAGGAAGCGAATTGGGGGCAGGATGCCCAAAACAGTGAGAAGGGTTTCAGAAGTACAAAAGGAGTATTCGGAGCGATCAGGGAACAGAACCAAGCTCCAGAAATGTCCAAGCACCTTCTCTGCATGACTCAAGTGCCATCTCAGTGGGTGTTCAAAGCTCTCAAGTTGTTAGGCTGCCACCATTGAGTCAGGTGGAGAAGTTCAAACCCCCTCCCATCCCCCCCACACTTATGGGGCACTGTAAAGGTAGACTGCTCTACAAACACATCTGGACAAAGGGTGCTGGGCCTCCATTTGGAAAGTAGACTGTAAGTACTACCAGTAATAAATAATAGATCGTAACTTCGCTCATCAACTTCAGAGGGAGCAGGCCATGTTGGCTCGGTGCATTTACAGCTATACTGAATGAAAGAATGGCTCTAACTTACTGACATGTATTCCTCAATTTGCTGCTGTCCCCTCTCCACTGTAAAGTCCTTGCATGAGGTCCATTGAATGTTTTGGATGATGTACTCAGCTTCTGCAAACAGACAATATACTGCTTAAGCCGCTTGATGGGGCTCTGACACGCTAAAGGACTTTCAATGGAGCAGGCTCTGTATTTCAATACCTCTCTCTTTTTCTTGCAAATCTCGAAGATGCTCTTTTGCATCCCTGATTACATCCTCAATTAAAATCTGTGCTTTTTCCTTGATGACAGCATCTTCATCTCCCACACCCATTATCATCAGCTTTAGAGAGAGAGAAATTGACAAGTTCACTACGAGAAGGTCAATACATGAAACTTGAGTAGAGCTGGGCTTTCTTACCTTGTCTACCCCCAACAGACCTTCAGCTGATCTGGAAAGAGATAGCAAAACAGCAGCTGCTTTCATTGGTTAATTCTCTTATAGCCCCTGACCCCTCATTCCCTGTATATACCCACACCAAAGTCTGGTCCTAAAATATCTCCCTTCCAATATTAGAAAGCAGCCTCTCCTACTCTCATAAACCAGATAGGTTTAGTGCATTGGGCTGAGCTCTTTGCTGCAGTAATATGCAGAGGGAAGTTCAGGGATTTAGCTGGCAGGTCCCACTGACAAGAGAGTGGTGATATTCCTGGGGCATCAGGCCTGAGCCTCAAATGTGGCACTAGATTCTTCAGATTTCAGGGGGAGAGAGTGGAATTGCTCTCATGCCTACCTGTCTCAATGCACCTTACAGGTTTTTTCCTTAGTGCTGGGATCTGCTCTATCCCCTGTAGCCTGCAGATTCCCAGGGCTCATTAAGCAGCTGGCTCTCTGGGTTCCTTAAAAGAGTGTTTGCACACAGCCGTCACCAGGCAACACTGGTGGCAGCCAATAGAAAAACAGAGTCGATGTACAGGCATTCCATTGTGTTTTAAAACAAGAAAAATAATTGCTTAAAGTTTAGCTATTCAGCACCGGCATCATGGCTGTGCAGATATTGTCAGTGTCAAGGGGGGGGTTCCCGTTCTGCTCCCACTGAGCAGGATCAGGCCCTTGGACTGGAGCTCCATGGACCAAACTCTGTCTTCCTTTCTGCTTGTGCTGCACCGAGTATGCAATAATAATCCTAACTAGCAGCAGTTCATTGGCCAATCTTCATGGAAGAGTCCTGCTAGGGAACAGGCGGCCAGCATTCGCAGGGTGTCACGGAGTCCCTGGGCGATGCTCTGGAACTGCTCCCCATGAAGCCAGTCAGGACTCTGGGGCAGTTGCCTTTCTGTGAGCAGCCTGTCTTCAGGACACGCAGCTCACTCAGCTTCCACCTTCCTGGGTCTGACCTTGGAGCATTCAGCATCCTCTGCCCCTCCGTGCGCTTCCCACAGCGAGTCCGCTCAGGTGGGGCTCCTGGGGAAGCCAGAGGGTCCTGCACCCCAACTTCGCAGTCAGACGTGACTCTCAGCCAGCCAGTAAAACAGAAGGTTTATTAGACGACAGGAACATGGTCTAACACAGAGCTTGCAGGTGCAGAGAACGGGACCCCTCAGCTGGGTCCATTTTGGGGGGCAGTGAGCCAGACAACCACGTCTGCACTTCACTCCATGTCCCAGCCAGCCCCAAACTGAAACCCCCTCCAGCCCCTCCTCCTCTGGGCTTTGTTCCTTTCCCGGGCCAGGTGGTCACCTGATTCCTTTGTTCTCCAACCCTTCAGCTCTCAACTTGCAGGGGGGGAAGGGCCCAGGCCATCAGTTGCCAGGAAACAGGGTGTCGGCCATTCTCTGTGTCCAGACTCCTGCACACACCTGCCCTCTAGGGCTCTGCAATGATCATACACCCTTACTCCACCCCCTAGATACTTAAGAACTGCCTAGGGGAAACTGAGGCACCCCCACACTATTCAGAGGAAACATTAAGAACAGTCCCACTTCGTCACATCTCTCCCCCCTTCGAGATCAAACTGAGCGGGGTCACTTTAGCCGGTGACCTGGGGAAGTTCGAAGCCACCAACGTTCCCATGGATGCCCCAGCATCTCTCCCATTCCTTGGTAGGAGTTACACCAGGCCCTTCCAGTTTCACGCCCTCCCTTAGGTCAGGGGTGGTCGATAGCACTCGCAGGCCGCATGTGGGAAGGTTTATGCAGCCCATGCCCTTTGGCCACCCCAAGAATGTCTCCCCATTGACCATCACCTTCTGCTCCCACTGGAGGTCCGGGGGGCCTGGCCCCAGGAAACTCCACACAGACATATAGGTTGGGGTCAGGAGTGGGAGCCCGTCCACATCCCCAACCATCTGGCTGACGGAGTCTATGGCCTTGGGACCCAGCAAGGGAGCCAGACACCGGGGCTTTTCCGCAGGGTCCCCTTGGTTCAAATCGCCAGCCTGCTCAAAGGCAGTGAGGTGGGCATCCACACACCCCCCCCCCCTTAACCAGGGGCAGCAATTTAGTCTCGAGGTTCCCTGCGGAACTGGCCCCCCGGGATCTATCCCCACTCACCCCGGGGAGGTCCCCTAGGCCTCTCCGCTCCCCCACCGCCAGTTCATCCTGCTGCTGCTTCTGCAGCTCTTTCTCGGGCTCTCGCTGTCTCCCACAGTCCTCTTGCTCTCTCAGACTCCGCTCCAATCCCGTCCATCTCGATCCCCCGATGGGGAACCCGATCGTGAAGACCCTCGTCTGGTCGGGGACAGGAGTCTTGGCGATGCCTGGCTCCCGCTCCAGCTGCTCCCAGATCCTGCTATAGCCCCAGTTGGGGTCAGGAATCTGTTCCTTAGAGCAGTCATCCTCCTCCAGCTGCACGATTAACTCTGCTTTGGTGAACTTTCCAATGCTCAACCCTCTCTTTTTGCACAGGGTTACAATGTCCTTCTTAAGGAGACGGTGACAGGCCATCACTCCGCTCCTCCCAAGTTGTTGTGGACTCACAGGCCCGTGTGTTCTCAGCTCCCCACGGTTTCCAGGGAGAACCCCTAGTGTGCCAGCCCTTCTCGAGGTCACCACCTCTTTGCCAGGGTCGAGCTGCAGACTCCTCCGCCCCTTGGACTGCTCGCTGCAATCCCCAGGGGAACCCTGTTACTGCACAGTCCTCGCTGGTCACACACTCCCAGGGGTTAACCGCCCCCCGAAACCGCTCCTCTCTGAGCCTTCAGCAGGCCTGGTCCTCGGCAATCCCCCTTCGTGTTACTGCTCCCCAGTCACTTACTGCAGGAAGCACCATCCATGGGGTGCAGTACATCCCACCGCTACCACCAGTTGTCACGGAGTCCCTGGGCGATGCTCTGGAACTGCTCCCCATGAAGCCAGTCAGGACTCTGGGGCAGTCGCCTTTCTGTGAGCAGCCTGTCTTCAGGACACGCAGCTCACTCAGCTTCCACCTTCCTGGGTCTGACCTCGGAGCATTCAGCATCCTCTGCCCCTCCGTGCGCTTCCCACAGCGAGTCCGCTCAGGTGGGGCTCCTGGGGAAGCCAGAGGGTCCTGCACCCCAACTTCGCAGTCAGACGTGACTCTCAGCCAGCCAGTAAAACAGAAGGTTTATTAGACGACAGGAACATGGTCTAACACAGAGCTTGCAGGTGCAGAGAACGGGACCCCTCAGCTGGGTCCATTTTGGGGGGCAGTGAGCCAGACAACCACATCTGCACTTCACTCCATGTCCCAGCCAGCCCCAAACTGAAACCCCCTCCAGCCCCTCCTCCTCTGGGCTTTGTTCCTTTCCCGGGCCAGGTGGTCACCTGATTCCTTTGTTCTCCAACCCTTCAGCTCTCACCTTGCAGGGGGGGAAGGGCCCAGGCCATCAGTTGCCAGGAAACAGGGTGTCGGTGAGCTGTAGCTCACGAAAGCTCATGCTCAAATAAATTGGTTAGTCTCTAAGGTGCCACAAGTACTCCTTTTCTTTTTGGCCATTCTCTGTGTCCAGACTCCTGCACACACCTGCCCTCTAGGGCTCTGCAATGATCATACACCCTTACTCCACCCCCTAGATACTTAAGAACTGCATAGGGGAAACTGAGGCACCCCCACACTATTCAGAGGAAACATTAAGAACAGTCCCACTTCGTCACACAGGGATATGGATTTCAGGATCCAGCAAGCCTTTGTCATCACTACCTTCTATGGCTGTGTGACTTACAGCCCCTGCAATGTAAGGAGAGATTGTTCAATCCCTGGTTAGCCTGTGCAGGATTTCCTAGATTCCTTGTGCACAGCCTTAGTCTGAAGTCAGGGGAGGAAGACTGCAGGGGGTCAAATCTTGCATGGGTGTCCACTGGTGACAGGAAAGGGACTTGCTTGAATTCTTTACCACTTATTAGCTCCGATACTCTGCCCTGTCATGAGCATCCCAGGGTGATGGCACAGTGGGACAACGCTGCAGTCGTGTTTCCATTATCTTGTACCTGCCTCCAGCCACAAAATGCCCTATGCACAGGCTGCTCTGACTGTGTGTACTGTGTCCTCTGCATCATTCAGGCTAGGCCTGAGCTGTGCTTAGTGGTGCTAACTCAGTGGGGTGGGGGAAACTGGGCAAATTTGCGGGGACTGGCAATTTGCTTTTTGGCAAACTTTCACTACAAAACAAATTCATAATTTCATCCCATACAATTTCTAAGCCCAGAAACTTTGCTCTTCGTTCCGTTTTCACTGGTTGGCTGGCTTCACATGGAAACACCTGACAGTCCTATTGGGTTTGTCCATGTTTCCCTGTGAATTCACCATGGTGCGAGCAAAATAAGTTTGAAAAAGTCAAGGCTTGCCTCCGAGACCTGGCACTGGGGGAAAGGACTGTGGCTGTGTGACAAACCAAAGTAGTTAGCAAGTATGTCTGAATGAGAAATGTTGCTCGGGCCGGAAAGTATGAAGGGGAAGAGAAAGAGAAGTAATAATGAAGTGGGCTACAGCAAGGTTTAGTGATCAGACCACGGGACTGGGCACCAGGAGAGCGCGTTGCAGTTCTGGCTCTGATGTTGATTCAGTGTGTGTCCTTGGAGAAGGACCAAAGGCCAACTTTTGAAAAATGCACTTTGTGTTTGGGTGGAGCAGTTTGTGGGATGTCCAACTTCAGATACGTAGGACCTGCTCTTCAGAGGTGTGGAGGCCCCATCGTTCCACTTGGAATCTCAGCACCTGGAATCTCAGGTGCTCAGCACCTCTGAAGATCAGCCTCTTGGGCCCAGATCCTCAAAAGCATTTAGGCACCTAACTCGCATTAAAATCAATAGGATTAGGTGCCTGAATATCTTGGTGGATCTGGCTCTTGGTGTCTAAACCAGTGTTGCCAATGTGCTATTTCCTTGTCAGTGATGCAGTTTGGCGGGGGCTGGAGCCAATGGTGACATGAGAAGCTGCAGCCTTCTCACAAATTTCAGCTCTGCTGCCCCCTCTGCCTGGAAAACCCTCTTTGACTGGCTGCCTTCTCCACTTGCCCTCCTGAAAGAGGGAGCAGGCAGAGCCCAGCTGCACAACGTGGCTCCAATCCCTCCTTTCCTGTGAAAAATGGGTCAGTCTGCTCCCCCCTCCATCCTAGAAATACCAGGCCAGGTAAGGGGGATGAAGAACCCCTGGGGGAACAGCAGTGAGGCTGGGAGTCAACACTGACTTGGAGTTGAAGGGACAAAACTGATTGCTGGGGAGTGTGGGGCTGGGGAGAGCCAGAGTTCACTCATTAGAATTGTGGGCTTGGGGAGAACCTGGAAGCTCCATCCAATCAGTCGGGCAGCAACCAGAGCTCCTTCAACGAGTGTGAGACTCACCTCACCCACTATGTGTGGGAGAGTTGGCAATGCTAATTGGTACATGTGCCTGGCAAAGAAAGAGGGTTCAAAATCAAAAGAGAAGCTAAACTCCAGAGTGGTCAGTTTAGATGAGCTATTACCAGCAGGAGAGTGAGTTTGTGTGTGTATGGGGGTGGCGGGGATGTGAGAAAACCTGGATTTATGCAGGAAATAGCCTGACTTGATTATGTAAAGAGTTGTCACTTTGGATGGGCTAGCACCAGCAGGAGAGTGAATTTGTGTGGGGGGGTGGAGGGTGAGAAAACCTGGATTTGTGCTGGAAATGGCCCACCTGATGATCACTTTAGATAAGCTATTACCAGCAGGACAGTGGGGTGGGAGGAGGTATTGTTTCATATTCTCTGTGTATATATAAAGTCTGCTGCAGTTTCCACGGTATGCATCCGATGAAGTGAGCTGTAGCTCACGAAAGCTCATGCTCAAATAAATTGGTTAGTCTCTAAGGTGCCACAAGTACTCCTTTTCTTATTGCGAATACAGACTAACACGGCTGTTACTCTGAAAAAAGATCTTATGATTCAGCCGGGGGGGAGGAACTGATTCAGATTTTGTAACTCTTGGGGTTGGCGGCAATGAGGTACCCAAATTAGAGGCCACTTCTGAAAATGTGAGCCTAACTCCTTTTTGTGTCTCAGTCCCAGATCCTCTGAGGATAATAACAATACCTGTTGCACAGGGATGTTGCAGGGTGTATAGATTGATGTTTGTGACACAGCTCTCTTCAGACGGAAGGTGTTATGGAAATGCTATTATCATTACAATGAAACATGCCAGAGGCACAGAGAAAGCAGGGTGCCCCTAAAGCAGTGTGGAAGTAGGCAGGGATGTGGGAAAACAGGAAGTATGGCTCAGCAATGGAAGCATGTGGAAACCTAGAGACCATGCCCTGTAGATTGTACAGTCCATAAGCCAAGATACACTAGAGACTATTCCTTGGAGTTGTGAGTAAGAGGGACCCAGTGGAGCCTAGTTTACTTCTGGGAGACAAGAAAATTAAATGAAAGCTAAACACCAGAAAGCAGTCAATGAAACCCTGCTTTGATCATTAGCAATCTCTGCCTCTGTGTTCTTAAGAGGTGTTTTGCCTCCTGCCCCTCATTTAATACACCTGATTAATCACACAGGTCTGTACCCAATACTTTGCAATAATCCTTGTTTCTTTGTGTAGATTGTTCAGGAATGTAACAGCCCTGGCTGTGTTCTTTAGTGGGAAATTGGATTTAAGGGTCCCAGCTGAACTGCAGAAATTGATCCATTCCAACAGACTAATAGTTCTCCTAAGGCTGCAAAAATGGGACCCCGAATTCCCGCACTAGCAACAGCAGCTCTGTAGCATAGATAAGGGGCCCATTGAATTTAAGCAGCTTTACCATGACATCATCTAACCCTCTTTAGAGCTCCTTGGATTATAAGGCCAGGTGGATGACCCTGATTTCCCAAAGCTTGATGCTAGGCAGCCCTCTGGAGGCAACTAGAGACCCTGAACCAGATTCAGGCCAGACCCCAGCCAGTGAAGCTTGAGTGTATAGTGACTTTTTTTTTTGAGTCACCAATGAAGAGAATTCTAGCCCCTTCAAAACACTGGGCAGGGGGAGTGCCAGAGCAGGGAGTCCTTCACAGAAAGCGGGGGAGAGAGATTCTGAAAAGACAAGTGTTGTGAGCAAGAAATGCAGAAGCAGGAACACATGGAACCAGGTGCAAGGTGCTGTGTTGACATATGCTGCAGAACTGCCCAAAAGCTGCAGGATCG